AAAGATTATCCCAACTAAATAGTCTTGAATTATGAAAAAGGAACGTAAATTTCCTTTCATTACTGAATTTCTTAACACCAAAACAAAATTAAACGAATTTTAATTGTAGATGCTTTCAAAAGGGTCAATCACGTTACATTTGGGAAAAACAAACCCGTAGTTTCGCCCCTCGCCTGTTTACGATTCCAGGAAAAAGTATCAACATTTAGCGACAGTTAACCGCTCGGTTACCGGTGGCCTGTCAAAATGAAAGAACTTGGATTATTGTAGAAATTAAAATCTTTGCTCTTCCGAATTTCCCTTTGAACTCATTAAAATTATTTAAAATTTCTAATCTCCAATTTTATAATATATACGAAGTTTTATAGTTTCTGCTATGTAATGTTTCAATTTTGTTTTCAGTACCATTACAGCAGTGTGAGTGTGTGTGCTTATGGCAAAGCATCGAGGGCTATCGGCTTAAGGGGAGGAATGCTTTCGTGGAGGACTTTCTAAGGAAAACTGGCTCGTATACACGTTACATATGGGGAAAACATCCATGCAGCCAGCCGGTTCGAGGGATTCGAACCTCCAACCGAACTACCAGCGTTCAGCGACTTTACCGCTCGGCCGCTGGTGAGCCACTATTACAGCAAGCTTAACTTTAGATTGCCTTCGTTACAAGAATTAATCCTTTGTTCATCTTAACTCCACTTAGAATCTTTCTGTCCGATTTTTGATCCACCACCGGTCAGGCGGTAAAGCCACTGAATAATGGTAGTTCGACCTGGGTACAAATGCTGCATAGTAGGCTAGATGCATGGTACCAGTGTTCAACGATCTTAACTTCGCAACTAATACATTTTGAAACGGTCACGAAATACACAAGGAATTCATTTGAAACTATGGAGATGTTTCACTTTGCCGATAAGTACAGGAATCTGATCAGTGCTTAGATTGGTTTGCTTTGGATTATTTTAATTATGGCAGAGTAGTCGACGGCTATCCGACAACGAAAGGGATGACTTTTTTTTTTCCCCAAGGGGAACTGACTCGTTATACATTATGAAAAACACGAAAACGCCCGTTCAGCTAGCCGTTCGCCGTCGCATTCGAATACTGAACGGAACTACGTTTTCAGCCGCTTAGAACCAGTAGTGTCTGAATTATGAACATTGTTAATACTGAATTTCAAATTAAAGGCAAAGAGAAAGTGATTCATATTATATTGTTGGGGCGAGAAATAGCTAGATGGATACACTTTTTATATATGCAGAATATATAGAATACACTTTGTATATATGCAGTCTCCAAATCAAGATTTTTGAATTTAGTGTGTTGAGAAAGTTCTTTAAATTCAGCAGGAATTTCATTTAAATTCAATTTTAAATTCAGCAGAAATTACATTCTCTTCTAGTGTAGTAACTATAAGAATCACGTTTAGTGAAAAACCCTTGGGTAAAAATGTTTGAAGCCAGTTATACGAAGCTTGTACTTCCAAAATCGTGCAGTCAAAATTAGTCTTCCTTAGATTTGCTTAATTCCAAATGAATACTCAGACAGAACCAGTGCCAGAGCTCTTGCAATAGACGCAGTTTTACCAGACGAGAGAATTTAGGCGTTTTGTTTGCTTGATTACGGCAAAGCCCTTAACGGCGCTCATACACCTTAAACCCCTTATGATCTTCGAATATGTGACTGCTTCAAGAATTGGGATATTTTATTTATTTGAAAAGCAATTACTTCCAACTTTTTACAGCTGACTACATAATATAGCTGCTTTGGGAACTAACTAGCAACCAGAAAGTTTGTGTTGCCACAAATATTTTTGTGAAATATTTAATCGGCTTTGAAACAAAATTTTTCGTCATGTTTCCAACTCGCTCGCATATTTTAAAAATGGCTAATGTTACATATTTGAAATTTTATGGAATTTTTTTATATGGGCTTTATTTTCTAACTGAAACAAAAATCCGATGAATATTTTAATATTACAAAATTTTATACTCGAAAACATTAGGTTTTTTTAATAAAATTCATTTTATAAACTCCAAATAAAATAAAAATTTAACATGAAATTCTTAGGATTTTTTGGTTCACAGTAGTTTCCAAATGTTATTAAAGCTATATATCATATTAAATATGGAATTAAATTATGCAACAGACTATTTTAAACTGTGCATTTAAACTGTGCAAACAAGGTTTTGTCACAAAGCGGATTAAATTATAAAAATATTTGTGGCAACACGAACTTTTAGATTACTATTTCAGAAAGCAGCTATATTATGTAGTCAGTTGTAAAACATTGGAAGTAATTGCTTTGAAAATAAATAAGTTATCCCAATTCTTGCAACAGTCACATATTCGAAGATCTTATGGGTTTTAAGGTGTACGAGTCCCCACCTGTTCAAGAGGATGTAGGTCTTCGTATAGAACTTTTTAAAGGAAAACGGTTCGTTCACATCTCGTACATGGGGGAAGACCAAGAAAAAGTCCATGCTGTCTGCTCATTCTTTGGGATTCCAGCACCGGACCAAACTACCATTGCTCAACGACTTTACCGCTCGGTCTTTGCTGCTTGAAAATTTAGACATAGTAAATCTTAAAATTTAAGGAAGCACTAAGTTTTTCCCTTTGAATATCAACGCCCTTATGAATTCTAATTATGCTAGAGTCCTACAGAAAGGATTAATGATCTTGTTACTTTTTTTTCAGAAAGAACTGGCCTATATAAAGCCATTTTTGTCAGATTTTGCTCTTTTGACACTTGTAAAACATTGGAAGTAATTGCTTCATCATTAAAGGTTAAAATTTATGAGAAAAGAATTTTCATCCGAAACTGGTTCTTTCATAAAAAAAAAGTTCCGGAACAGCTCTTGCTTAGGTTTCCGACTAGAACTACAATTCATCTGAAAAACTGAGAAGTACCGAAGCCAAACTCGGCTGAGTTCCGGCACAATTCAAATTCCAATTCCTGACACTTTAGTTACAGTTGGCAGCAAAAATGGTGATGTTCTTGCCCGGTTAGAGCCGAAACTGGCAATTCCGATTTTTCAAATGACTTTTTGATTATTCACATTTGATTTTAATGTTACCGATTTGGTTGAATTACGGCAAGCGGCCGTTTATTTAATTACGGATAACTTCGAGGGCTATGTGTTAAGGGGAGGGGTGCTTTCGTGGAGGACATTTTAAGGGAAACTGGCTCGTATACACGTTAAACATGATGAAAACAGGAAGACGCCCATTGAAGGTAGCCCGTTTGTGAAATTCGAACCTCGGACCGATCTACCGGTGTTCAGCGACTTTACCGCTCGGCCGCTGGAGGGCCTTTCATGTTACTGATAGTTTGTTTGATAATTACAGAGTATTGAGTGGTATATAAAATCTTGTTGCACAATAATGCAATTTTAAATATTTTACACGGCAAATAGTACCTTGGCCACTGCAGTGAAAGTTATAGCACACCATTTGCTTACATTATTTCTTGCATGCATTGTGGATAAACACCGTATTGTGTTATTCGATGTTGTCCATTTCAGTTGTCTTACCTAATCGGGACAAAACCGCGAATTTTATCGTGGTAAGGAGTGCAAGACTTCTATCGTTAGCATGACGCCTTGAATGCCAATGTAGATATGAGCTTAGCCATTATCAGGTATTGGAAATATGGAGAGCAGACGATGGCATTATTTGTAAGCGGCATTAACGAGGATTTAAAATTATTTCTAGCGATGATACCTGGCTAAAAAAACACTGGCATAAGATGTATTAGCTTAAGATTTCAGACTTATTCTGTGAAAAGTTAAATGCACTAAATCTGTGTACAAAGAAATTCACTTTTCTCGATGCCCATGTGCGAAAGGTAAAGATAATTTTGTTTGCTGGTTAGTTGCGTAAAACATATTTCACTAACCTTAAAAGCCTTTTCAAAAGAGAAGGATATTGTTGGATAAGAAACAAGCAATGACACTCGTATCTCGAAACCGAGGTCACAATTTGAAACTTTACAAGTAGGAAATATGAAGAAGTTTCATGGTTTATTTCATTATTATATTAAACTAAAACTGCAGTTTGATGACATAGGGCTTAAAATGAAATCTCAGACGGCGCGTGTGGTTGATTTCTCGGCCTCAATACTGGCGAATATAAAATACAGGAAACTATACAATGGTATTTGAAAAGAAAGTATGTGTGTGAGTAAAGGGTTTAGTAATAAACTCCAGTAAAAACAAAGCACCGGAATTGACTTGATGTACTCTTATCAGCATACACTTACAGAACTGCCGTTCAAGAATCCGTGGGCTCATCCATCTCATTAATGCGAATACGAACATTTTTTAATTTAAGATAAATTAATTTATCTTAAAATAAAAATTACCCAAATTTGCTTAATTACGCATTGCCAATATAGAATTTTAATTGAATTTTAAAAATACAAGTAGGTGGTAACACAGGCTATAAACTTTGTTTTCGGTCCAGAATATTATAATTTATAAAAGTTGTCCTCATTTGACAGAAGTTTAAGTAATTAACTTTACCTTGCTTGAGCCTTCGGTCGCTTTAGGTCAAGATGACTATTTGCCGAGCATTTCAAGTAAAACTTTAAAGTACAACGGCCTTTTTACTCAAGCATTCTCACCATTCTATAAAGTTCACTTCAAATATCTCAAGGCCTAGCGTTGAAATGTTTAGGGCGATGGTGCATTTTTACATACATGCACGAATATTGCAGAGTTCCTAGTAACTTTTACGTCCGTCCTGTGTGGCCTTTCTAGGGAACATACCCAATAATAGAAATTGCATTTTCGATACGATTGTAGATTCGGTTTTCGTTAAATGATTCTGCTATAGTGTAAATTAATGCAAGTCTGACATATTTTACAATAGATTCTTATTAAATTAAATGTACTTTGACTAATGGTAATGAGTTTTTAAGAATTTCGTGATTGATTCAACCAATTTAAATTTGTTATACAATACTTGCAAATTGGAAATAAATTAATTCGAAAACATTAAAATGACAAAACATTAAAATTCGAATTTTATTTTTCGAGTAAATGTCCAATGAAAAGCAAAATCTCAAGTTCTAAAACAACAATTCTTATAAAAGCAATCAATAAACGAAATAAAAATGGATGACCATTCTCTACCGTGCAAACTAAAAACAATCTTTTTTTCAAATGTCATTTCATAAATGTATAACATTCGCACTAGACTTCTTTTACGACAGAAAATTTACGCAAGTAAATGTTATATATTCTAATATTACATCATCACTGAATGAAGGTCAATATCTTGGAATTATAAAATAAACGAATCAGTTCAGTTTGGAGCGCTTCCTGTTCCTAGAAGACAGATTAAAAGATCTTGCATTCCAACATTAGTCTTACATGGCAAGTCAGAATTTTATTCCAACAATACTGTTTGGAATGCAAGCCAAAAGGAGAATTCCAACAGTTCTTTTATGCATGCCAGATCAAGATGAAACGATCTTGTATCAGACAGTCTTACGAGTTTACTTTTTCGGTATAGAAGAAGAGTAAAATTTCAAGTACAGGACTTCTCTTTTCCAACGCCTCTATTCCTTCTATCAAAATTTCTTCTATGTTTTTTGTTATCAACCGATCTGGTATTATGTAAGTTATCCTGGCACATACGTGGAGGACGAATACTGGTAGACGGTAAAACATCAGTCTTTGGAGCAAATTGACAAACGTGAGAGTTTTCCTGTTTCACCTGATTTTGCGGTAAAGACGGATGCTCGAAATTTAACGGTTCGTTACTTATAGCTACTTCTCGGGGAATATTGGTTGTAGGCCTTACCTCTTTCTCAAGGAAGGGTATATTTCGTGAGAAATATGCATACTGGTGAGCACGCTCCAAAGAAGTACTATCAGAACCAGGAAAATCTGAAGTATCAGAAAATACCGAACCGACACCATATTCACTGTTAATGAATGGATATTCTAAGCTCAAATTCCTTCGTTCAAAAAAACTTGGATAGCTATCATTGACGATTTCCGCTTCTGAAATCTGACATTCTGCGCCGATCAGCCCGTTTTCAAAACTATCATCTTGCACTTGCTCCTCAAATACAAAACTGGAATTCATTCGAGAAAATGAATCTTGTGGTCTTGGGTAATAAGTGCCACACATGCATCTCCAGGCTTCATTAACTATATTATGACTCAAGAAATAATCCAGCTTAATGGTGGCAGGAGGAATTCCCCGAGCAGCGCAGATTCCTTGGATGAGGTTAGCCTCCTTCCTTCTCATAAAAATTCTTATCTTGTGGTAAAAACGATTAGGAAAAGTTTCATAGCCTTTAGACCATAGACCAAAAGCAATAGTAGCACCAACAGCTTCAGCCATTGTCGAGAATTCAAGTTTCGATACTGTAACTTCGTTTTCCATGGAATATCTAATCACAGGATACCCAAACTTTCGCTGTATAATCTGAAGAATTTGCCCATTTACGGGCGTACGAAGGCTTTCTTCTTTGTCTACGGCATCAATCCGGGCGATGGTTGGCTGATAATAAAGGTGATGATTGGATGGGCGAAGGATTTTCTTTAGCTCAATACTGTGCAATGCAGAAAGTAGATTTTTGACGATTACGGCATTGAATATTCTTTCCTGAAAGAAGAAGAATGTTATTAAATACATGAAACTTTACAATTTAACATGATTTAAAGTTCGGAGTCTATGAATTCAAATGAGCAGACTGAGACAACTTCGAAATTGCCGATTCCTAGTGCGAATTTTAAACCGCCAAATTAATTTTGCAGAATAGAAGCATTTAAGAGATTTTACGTTATTTGCTTAAGAGGAGGGATGCCCTTGTGAAGATTTTCCAAGAAGAAACAGGCAAGTTCTTTTTACATACATGAAAATCAACTATGCAGCCAGCTAGTTCGCCTGGACTTGAATCCGGAACGAACTACCAGTACTCGGTAATCTTTAATCGCTCTGCCAACGGTGAAGCAATCAGTTCAAAAAAGTGGCCAGCACGTGATGTTTCCAAATATTAGTCAGCAAGATTAGACTGTTAAACTTATTTATGATTTTCTTACATTAAGTCAAATTGAGAAAGAAGACCATTAAGATGAAATATTAATGGAATAGAAAACTTGGTATGATACACAAGAGAAAAAAATCAATGAAAATATGCCAGCCACCTCATTCTGCTACGGAGAAAGTAGTCCGGACGAAGTTACTTTTGCAAATTAATGGAAAACGCCTTCCAAGAATTATCCAACTCTTAAAACTATCCAGTTACCTATCAATTGTACTACTTTATTGGAAGAACACCATAATGGAAATTTACATAAATTAACCAGTTTCATTTTCTTTGTACAATTTACAAAAATTGAAGATATTCAATATTATCCTTCAAAATCGCTGTTCAGCATCATGATCCCGGAAATCCTAACTAATGTACAGCTAGAAATGTAAATTTTTTTTAGGAAACGTTTTACCATTTTAACAAAAATTTGAACAATATGAAAAAATCTAAAAGAGTTCAGAGTTTAACAATCGCCCAAAATGATTTGTTAGGGTTTTCTACGCTCTCCTTGAGTTCGAAGTGTACCAGTCTGCTGTGCTCTCACTCCTGTTAGCTTTATTACTAAATACTATTTTATTCGCACTTACGCCATATACAATTCAACTGCAATTTTAAAAGCAGCCTAGAACGAATGTTTAGAGCTTCCGATGAAGTATTAAGTGTTGGCATAGTTTTACTATTTTTTTAGTCTTGTCTCGGTTCATATTAATGCTCAATTTTCTTAGTAAGATGGCTAACAAAACTTGTGTGTGGCGTAACGTTTTGTTAATTTACTTTATTAGATATCACGTTTTCAACACTTAAGTCATAAAATATTTAAAAACAGCCTATCTTTATACGACCCAATAGACAGTCTTACGTGAAAAAGATACAAATTCATAATTTAATTTTTTTAAACGTAATACAGGGCTATAATATTTGGCGGCAACATTTTGGAAAGCGTTCGCAGTTTGCAGGAGACGACGCAAAATCCCCTTTTGAGACTAAAAGTTTATTCGGGCTAACTCCTTCCTGGGCTAATAAGAGGTAATTCCAATAATGCTCAAGCTGTAGTTGTCCGCTACGAGTTTTAGAAATGGAAAACGTTGAACATTGAAAAGTCGGTAGCGTTCCTAATCTTATTGCATTTTAAAGTTATTTCATAATGGTTGGTTGGTTGACTTTTAATGGCACGAAACCTTGAAGGTTATTATGCACCAGACGAATGATAAATAAAATCCAAAAATGCTCAAACACACTGTATAAAATGAATTGTTGAAATGAACCTGTAATGCTGATGAAGGTATGTGGAAATGAGAGTCAAATGCTCTAGCAGCAGGTAGAGCAGGTTAGAAGGAAAATAACTCAAATCATATGGTGAAAAGAGACGCCTCTTAAAAATCTTGAGGTTGATGTGGGGTTTCTTTGAAAGAGACTGTCAAGTTAACATTCGTTAAATGATGGTCACGTTTCTGTCTAAAAGCAGGGCAGCATGTTAAAATGTTATCGACTGAAATAGGAGCATTGCAAGTGCCACAAATAGGTTCATCTCCTTTCAAGACCTATTGATGGGTCGGTCTGCAGTGACCAATTCGTAGGCGAGTCAGCATTACATCCTCCTTTCGATTCCCTGTCGAATCTCAATACTCCAAATTGGGTTTTACCTGCCTTAATTTGTTCAGAGTCTGGCATTCCCAGAGTTTCTTTCCACCTGGACAAGATCTTTGTTCTGATGTAATTTCGCATGTCTGTAAAAGGGACGTTATTTTCAGAGGTAATATCAGCAGATTTTGCTTGCGACATCGGCGAGTTCATTGACTTTGATGCCAGCATGTCCAGGCACCCAGCAGTACGCAATAGAATAACCCGAGTTTCTCAAACGGAGGTGTGCCTTTAAAATTTCCAAGACCAAAGAGTGTCTAATATTTGCATTTATTGATTCAAAAGCACTCAGAGTCAGTAAATGATGAACTTTGTTATTCTGCTTAGAAATAAAGGTTAAGGAACTGAAAACGGCAAAAGTGTCTGCGGTAAAGACAGATGCCAGCCTTATGAAGTTTACTACTCTTGATTTCTTTATCAGAAACAAAAGCTGCCCCGACAGGATCATGATTCTTTGAACCATCAGTAAAAATTGCTCTACAATTAGAATGACTGCTTCTATGGCTCTAGAAAAATTTGTTGATATTGGACATCATTGGTATTCTTAAGTTCTCCAAGAATGTCAAGTAAGTGATTATTCACTTCTTGCCAGGGATCAATACCGAAAAAGTTAAAAAGCTTTTGAGATGCAGATCATGTAGGTTGAATTCTTCAGCGAGTGAATGCGAAGATCACAGTTGGGATACATGAAGGACGTGCTTGGTAGATACGCTAGTACTGATCAGATGTCATGAACTTCATAACGGCAAAACTGTAGTATTCAAACATTAAATAGAACCAAGGAATTCTTTTCCGTGGGGGAGGGAGGTGGTAATCTGAAATGTTGATCACTAAATCTAGTAAAAAACTCGATTACACATTGCATTCCTAGTAAATTATTCATGATTTTGTAATCGTTCATTGGTGTATGCAATCTGGGAATAAATATTTAATGTGCGACACTTGATTTTGTTCCCAATGTTATACTACAACTAGTTTAAAAAATTCAGTCTACTTATTCAAGGAATTCTCTAATTGCATATTTTCAGAGAATATGAGAAGATTAATGTTTGAAAACCACTGGCATAGAAAATTAGCGTGTTATCGAGAGTAATAGTTTTAGAAAAAGGCACACTTATGTAATCAATTTTACGAATATTCATACGGTCTTCTGGGTCATGTACGCAGTATGTTAAAGTTACAGTGCCTTCCTCTACGCATTTTTAAAATCATTACATATTTATAAAAAGTCGACAGGATTAACCTGGTGCAAGTTTTCTCCAATGGATTTCGAACTCTGCTGCCTCAAACTTCCAGTGTATCATCAAATTTGTTTTCGGTTTGTGATTTAACGGCATATTCAAAAAGTGCTTTGAAAATCATCGAGTATCTAAGTTCAAAATCGAACGCGTTTCGAAGAAATATGGTTACTGGTTCTCGCTCGCTTCAAATATTCGTAAACGATTATGCATTTCCAATCATCGCGTAAAAAGAACATCCAAAGTGCTATGAAGGTCAGCAACCTCGCTAGTGAAATAGGGTTTTTCGCACAGTTTGCGTTTTTCAGAGCTCTCATTCAAAGAATGGAATATTATCAAAAGTTATTACAGTGATATTGAAGTGGTACGAAGTTCCAAATGAAGTAAATTGCGTTTTTAAATGACTGTTTTATAAGTAATTTCGCATTTAAAAGTAATTGCATTGTTTTACGATTTATTGATGGTAATGTTTTGCTTAAATCATTTTAAAATCAAAGTTAACAATTCAAAAATATTTTGATTTATTTAATATGTAGTTTTATATTTCTGAATTGGGAAAAGAAATTATTGAATTTGGTAAAAATTAGGTAAGAAATTTAAAGGTTTTACTTAGGGAAGATTCCTAATGCGAATAATATTTTTGTACTATTGTTTAAATTTCTTTGAATTTATATTTTTGAATTTTTTAGTGTATTTAAGAATGAAATTGTTTGAAAATTTTAAATTCTAGCAATTTCATTAATGTTTTCAAGATAAACGTTGAAGGCTAGTGTTTTTCATTTTTATAATGGAATGACAGCAGTTCGAAAAAGGGCAGTTACCTCTATCGAAGGAACGGAGGCCTTTTCTACAGTAACTGCTAATTTGGCAAATCTTTTGGCCACTGGTGAAGCATAAACACCAGTTCGCTCAACTGATAAACCGATATGATGGAAATGCTTGTATTTAGAGGAAGTTGTGGAGTCTTCAAGTTTTGTAAAGAATAAGTAAATTTTAAAATCTCTTGATAGTGAAAAGTTTGAAATTTTGTGCTTATGAATGATGAGTTACTTTTTTATATTTTAAAATAACTTTCCTCAAAAACATAAATAACATGAAAGTCGGGATCTTAATTTGCATTATAATAGAAATATTTTCATCAACAAAAATTGGAAAGACTTATTTGAACTCTGTGAAAAAATTTGAACTTTTACCGTGTGGAACTATCAAAAACATTACATAATTTCACTGGACATTCTTACCTCAGAACTAAAATATGCTATTGTTTTAAAAGAATACAGTGCTAATATTACTAATTGAATTCCAAATTTTATGACAAATTTTTGTTTAATTTAAATAGGTTTGTTAATATGTTTTGTATTTCACATTTTGCTGCTCTAGTGCTTTTTCTTCCACTCTGCTCACCCAGCCTTCTTTTGAAGGGGGGATATGCAAGATAACAAAATATGATAGCCGTTTCAAAAAATAATTGGCGACCTCAAAATCAACATTCTAAATTTGATAATCTGCCCCTCGATTCCTCTCTTTTCACAGATTCTAGATTGTTCTATCTTACGTAACGTTTCAACCTTCTAAAACCGGGCCGAAATTCTCATAACATAGCCTTCAGACCGGCGCGATCCGAAACAGTTTTGCCCCCTTTTACATTTTCCTAACGAGAAAAGTCGTTAGTCCCCTCCATGGATGCAGTA